CTTGCGGGTTGGCTTGCACGTCTCTTGTTTTCCCTTCCATTCTGCCGACTCTCCAGACACGTTATGACTCGTCGTGACTCAAAGCCCTAGACACGGCCGCCCGCTTACCGCCTCATCGCCTTACCGCCCTGCAGCTGTCAAGGTCAGCGACGTCAAGCAGGCCACGCAGAAACCGGCGTCCCAGACACCCAAACCTCTTTCATCGCTGCGACACAGCATCTTGGCCTTGTCTCTGCCCTTGCGTCGACCGTGACATTTCATTCGGCCCCGTCTTGTCGCGCAGCTTTCGGCGGCATTGCCAGCGCTTTCGTTTGCTGCCCTGCACAAAACACGCCACCCGCCCTCCTCATCCGCCCTCCGCCACCCGCCACTCGCCATCCGCCACTCGCCATCCGCGGATTCGACAGAAAACCAGCCGAGACCTCTCCAAATAGTCCAAATAGAGTGCCAGCCACCACGGTGCAGCGGGGGTGTCTGCATGTGTTGTCTGGTCTGTGCTGGTACGTCCGTTTCATATCGTTGTCCGGGCACCAGACGTCTCTTGTAGAAGCTGCAGGACAGGCAACAAGGGCGTCAACGAGGACGGCCACGTTCTGTTGGGTCTCAAACGCAAAAAGAGAAACATTTTGTCGCTGGCCAGCCCTCTGGACAGCCCCATCTTGCGGGTATACGGACTAGACTGACTGAAAGTCGGCATAGTCGCTCATGCTCTGGATCGTGTCCGGTGACTTTGGTCTAGTGCGCTTCCCGCTGTCCTCGTCGTCTCTGACCCGTCTCTAGCTGCGCGCCGCCACTTTGCGCATAGGGGCGATTTTTTTCTTTCTTTTTTTTCTTTCTTTTTCTTGTTTTGGTTTTTCCTTTTTTCTCTTTTCTTTTTCCTCTTCTTCTTAATTTATACTTTGCCGCCACAAAAGCCCACCCGGCCACTCGAACGAGGTGCAGACCAGCAGGCAAGAATCGTGGCCGCGACGAGCTGCCAGCCTTTGAACGTCCGGGCCGACAACTTGCCACTTGCCAGACCAGAGCAGACCAAACCAGATTACCATCCATCAAAGCAGCTGCCTGCCAGCTGTAGGACCCATCACCAGACCAGGCCGGTACGTACCCGTGGGCCGTGGCGTTTCTTCGTTTCTTCAGTGTTGCAACCCCAACCACCGAGCAGAGCAACCTCGACCAGCCGCCATGGCAGATACCAAGAATCAATCGGGTCGCTCCAGCAGCCTGCAGCGCATGTTGGATCTGGAAAAACAGTATATGGTCAGCATGCCCTCCATCCTAAATCGTTTACAAAAAAAAAATCCCGTTCTGCATGTCTATTTTCTTCAACTACCTTTGTGAGACTTGTTGGGCTTCACTCAGCGAACAGCTGCCATTAAAATAAAAACATCAAAAGTTGAATCATTAATACTGACTCGATTTGCATTAACCTCCCACCCCTAGACTGAGCGACACCAATCGCAGGCAATTCAGTCAAAGTCAACCACAGCCCAAGCCATACCCATCTTGGCCATTACCCCCCTGACATCTCCTCATCGCACCAGCATTCTCGCCCGTCCTGTAGAGGGCTATTCGCATCGAAGAGGTGGGAACCATCGCCGTGGTGCTTCTCTGCCCCCACAACTTCCGCCTCTCATCATCAACAACAACAACACCTCACACCTCACGGGCAGCCATTCAGAGCTGCTCATGGACAACAGGCGAGTGTTTTGTCCTGGAGACGCCCCCAACTCGGCTGCAGAAACTTCATGTGAGAAATATACAAAGGTTGTTGCTTTCGAATTCCCCGCAAAGGAAGTCGCACGCTGTCATTCTCCGAGCTGGGAGGCATACGAACGACGCAAGATGGAAAAAAAGATGGAGAAGAAGGAGCGAGGAGACGCCAGAAAGGATGCCACCAAGAGGCTTTCGAAGAAACCACCGCCGTTCAGCTCGCCAAAGGCTCTTCAGCATGCATTGGCCTCAGAGACAGACATGGCAAGAGGACGTGTGCGAGAACGAGCAGAAAAATCAGCAACTGTGAGCAGTTCGGACCAAGAACGAAAATCCGGTCGAAAGGCTCGCAGTCGATCGGGTTCATTTGTCTCCATGCTCAGAGCTCCATTCGAATTTCGACGTTCAGCTTCGACAGACAAAGTGAACGACCCGGGATTCAACGACCCGGGATTCATTGGCGGCATCAAGCTGGAGCTTGAGCGATATGAGCAACAACAACAGAATTTGGATAGCAATGCCGTCGAAGACGAATCGAATATTCATCCTGCTCTTCGTAAAAATAACCAGATATTTCACTCGCCGCTAGCCAGTCCTGGCACTCCAAGCGGAACAGAGCACCGTCGATATCCGCCAATAACCAGAGGAAGCAACTATCATGGAAAGACATCATCTCTTGTGGTTGCTCCGACGGCGTCCGCTTTTCATGATGTCAGCAGAATGGACAAGTGGCGAACCAGAGTCGGTCTCAAAGTCGGGCCGCGACCACAATCGCTAGCAAGTCCCGTTGAAGTTTTTCAATGCCGCGAACCTGCAGACCACGACCATTCAATTCAATGCGTACAAACGGATCATATTCCATCAGCTTCCAAGACCCCTGGAAGAGAGGAGCTAAAGCCACCACCAACAAGCCCTCTGTCGTCAAAGCCAAAGCCGGCGCTTGTTGCGTTGGCCGCAGAATCCTCGACGGCCCCGCCTTTGTCGACAGCCGTCGCCCAGGCTGGTGGATTGGAGAAGCGGTCTGAGAATCGACACCCACGGATGCACAGTAACAATGAGTCCGTTTCGTCTACCTCGTCTGCTGCGACTGCATACAAGACGGCTCCTTCTTCCCCTCCTCCGCCAGAGCCTCCCCAACGAAGCTCAAAGCGACACTCGGCCGGGAGTTCGGTCGACTCAATCCCACCAGTACCGACGCTGACTCAACAACAACGACAACAATATCATTACGACGCTCAAGCTTCTACGACGAAAGATGCAAAGCTCTCTGCTCAGCGTTCATTTCCTCTCTACGCGAATATGGCGAAAACCAAGAGCAGGCCATCTGGACCCGAATGGTCTGATGGAGCAGCATCTGGAGCAGCCTCCGGAGCAGCCTCCAGAGCAACCTCTTCTACTGCTGCTGCCGGTCAGATGACGCCGTATCTGTCGTCGCCCACTAACAACGGACACGGGCCGACAAGTTCCTCGGAAGACTCCTGCGACGAAGACTTCCACTCCGCTTCGTCTGTTAGCACGCCCGCGACCTCTCGGCCGCAGTCTGAACGAGGAATGTCTTTGACGTGTGGTAGTCAACAAAACTCCCCCGTCCCAGTCCACGACGCAGTCAGGGCTTGTTTTGCCACAACATATCCACTGCCAAGTGCAGAGAATTCCGAAGACGAAGGGGGAGTCGACCCCATCCAAGCCGCCGCCGAGAAAGTTCTTGCTGTTTTCAACGGAATCCCCGTGCAAAGACCTGATGACCGCAGGCGACGCAATTCCCGCAACAGCGTGGCCACGGACACAAGTTTTGAGCCGCCTGCGACGGAACGACCTCTCAATCTTCGCTGCAGGAACAAATCCACTGATCCCCTGCAAAGCACTCTTCCTTCTTCGCCGGCCTGTTATCTCGAACACGTCCGCCAACAGCCACCGGCGGCTGCGCCAACCCGCGCGCACAAGCAGCGCTTGGGTCCTCCAACCTCGTTTGTCCTTCCGGCAGATGGCTCGAATGCCGCGAATAGTGCACAAAAACTCAACAAGTCTGTACCGGCAGTTGCCGACTCAGTCCGCCGACATCTCCGCCACAAGTCCACACCTCAGCTCGCGAGCATGGACCGAGACCCGATAAGTAAGATCTTTGTCGAATGCTGTTCCTGCTCGCGCTATCATGACATGCCGGGCAATCTGTACAAGGCCATGTCCAACCCCGAAGATGTTTTAAGCTCCGCCGACAAGTGTGGGTACGCCGGCGCCTTGTCTATGACTGTCCGATGTTCGTGGTGCAAGCATGAGATGAGCGTCCGCTGCTGCTCAGCGTTATCGACCAAGGTGTATATTCAACAACGGCTGCACTAGAGGTTTTTTTTTGCGCAAAATTATAGACCAGGCACACATGTGTGTACTGCATATGCGAAACACCTTTTCACCTATGGGAGCTATCTCTGCATTCCTAATTCTAATTACGCATCATTACCTTGCTGAGTACAAAAACAGGATAACTGTCATTGACCAATAAAGAGGCGTCTGCAGCTATGTGTTCTGTCTCTCTTACCCTTTCCTTTTCTGTTCAATCTCTTTCTTCACTTTCTTGTTTTATGTTTTTCTTTTGTTGTCATGTTCAGACCTTTCGTGACCACGCTACTTTATGATGTTACGAACTCTCATTTGGCAAGTATCTAGCGATGGAGAATGGAGAATGGATTAGTGATTTATGATTATGTTATACCCGGGTTTAATTTGATGTGGTTCGGCCGATGTAATTCGGTTCGATGGGTTACTTTGCTGAGGTGTACTGGTTCAATCGAGATGGAATTGCTTGGGTTCTGCGCTGTAGTCTGAAGCCGGTGCGATTGAAGCAGGCAATTAGAAAGCGCGGCTCTTATATACTTGGTATTTTAGGTGAAACATGTAAAAAAACTTTTTATTTAAAAAGACTATTCATTTAAGAGGAAGAAAAAACGAGAAAAAGAATTCAGGTGTGTATCAAGTATATAAAAGAACATTGAAAAGGCCGGGAAAATAGAGCAGAAAAAGACTAGTACATTCGCGCCATTCTCCAAAGGTAGCATGGCGTTCTTCACCCCGCACGCCTTCATACCCAATCCACTCCCATAAAAACCCACAGATCACCCAATAGCGCCGCTCTAAAAGAGATTTGCGAATCCTCCTAACCACAAAAGTGATCCATGCGGCGCAACATGAATCGGCCATGTAATCAGAACTGGAAGTCTGCAGCTGCGTCTGTTCGTGTACGCATAAGCGTGGTACGTTCTTAGTGATGTTTGACAGCAAAATTCAGCATCCAAGGCACTTTGGCCGAGTGGTCTAAGGCGCCGTGTTCAGGTCTTCAGATGTTCCGCACATCTGGCCCTCTTCGCGGTCTAGTAATAGGCGAGGGTTCGAATCCCTCAGGTGTCATTTCTTTATCCTCAATGTGGGATTATTTTTGAACTTTTGAACTCAAGATTTTAGATGATTCGTAGATTTCTTTTTTTTATTCATCACCTTAGCTGGTTGTGCACGCGCTGCTTGTGGTGTCTCAGCCGTGCGGGTTCCATGGTGTCATTCTAGATTCAGGGTCTCAGGTACACCGGCTCGATCGCCTGACGGGAAGAGGGCTCACTGGGCAAAGTCGTAGTGACCACGCGAAAGCAAGGTTGGGATGGTCCTCGGATGTACATACATATGTATGTATGCATTGCTAGGGCATGGAAATACGTAATCATCGCTGGTTCTAGAGGCTCGTCTGCGGTGTCTTGGGGGTCCGTTGCTCATGGCTGGCTGGCTGTCGAGGGATATTGGGTGGGACATTCAGGAGATCGACGGGTAGACAGGGCTGATGGTGGCGGGGGGCTATTTCTACGAAGACTCTACGACGAACTCTACGGGGAAGACGATAGGGACAGGCGGACGACAGGGACAGGAAGATGACAGGGACAGGAAGACGATAGACAGGAAGACGATACGAAACAGCAGGAGACGAGAGGGCAACGAAATCCTCTTCTCCAGGATTCATCCTCATGCCCTCATGGTGAAACAAGGCCCGTTCAACCTGAGCAGCACATGCCCGTGTCGGGAAAAGACGGTCAGCAGCAAAACCATCCCTCATGACTGCCCCCGAGCACTGACGCACAGAAACGCAGCAACAAGCCGGCAGAAAAGGCAATGCCACTTGTGTCCGCACGTGCACGTGATGCCGATTGCCGAGTCGATGCTTCCAGACCAAGACATGGAGACAAGACCTCCCCGGACCGGCGCCCCCCTGCCTCTTCATTCCTCGCCTCACTTCCCCAGCTGGGCTTCTGTGCCAGCGACGACAGCCCATCGGGGTTAGGTCTCGGAATAGGCCCAAGAGGTGTAGGCGCGTGTCCGGCAACGATGAGCCGGGTGCTTTTTTTTTTTTTTTTTTTTTTTTTACTAAAATAAAAAAGCAAAAATGCCTTCTTCCTTTTTGCTGAGCGGCTTGGCGGACGTCACATGGGCGCTGTCACGCGACGGGCGTACATGTCTATTTCTGTGGTCCCGACGGGTTTGTTCTTTGGTCTGTATATTCGAGGGGGGGCTCTTCCCAGAAGGGGAAGATGCGCGAGATGGATACTGGGCGCGAAAGACGGCCGGATAAATATGTAGGAGGCGTGAAAGATAACTTAATATAAAGGACATGGGAGGCTTAAAAGACAACCAATGCAGAGTACATGGGAGGCGTAAAAGATAAGCAATATAAATGCTGAAAGCGAAAAAGACGCCTGGATAGATACATACGAAGCGCAAAAAAAAGACACCAAAAGATGACATGTATTACGAAACCATATATAAAAAAACACACAAGCCTGCGAAAAAAGGTACCGTCCACAAACGCCCCATCCCATGGATATCCCGTCCGCATCGAACTGTTCTCAACGAGCTCAATCTTGCCCATCTCGTAGGATCGCACATGGAATGTGGAGCAGCTTGTTCCTATGCTTTTAAAGTATATCGCTAGCACCAGGGGTTCCAGTGACATGCTGGGCGCTAAGGTGACAGTCCGGTAGTGTAGTCGATGAACAGACTTTATCATTCTCATATGACAATAACTCAGTCTATGAACGGGCTCCCTAACAGCTATAAATAAATAAAAACAGTGAAAAAAAAAACACATCTCCTAGAAGAAGAATCGGGTAAGACACTAAAATATACAAAAGATTCCTGCAAACCACCCATCATCGCGTAAAGTACTGCTCCTGCGCACTGATGGAATGTCTCCTCCACTTGCTATCCTGGGGATACTTGTGCTCGACGACAGGCGGGCCGAGGTACTGGCTCAGAACCGATGGTGGCGAGTGGGCCGCGTCGCGGACGTTGTGGTTTGGGCATCGCGGAGGGACATCACTGCTGCTGGTGAGTCGTCAGCGCCAATCTTTTGCAGGTTGGGTGTTCTTTCTTTCTTCCTGTCTGTCTGTTCTTCATCAGAGGCTTGGTGAATGGAGCCAGCGTACCTTGTTCGAGGGGGCATGCCCTTGAAATGCACGCGCGGGTGTGGCCGAATGTCCTGGGGTCCCGTGATGGAGTTGGAGCGCGAGGAGGGACATGCGAGGGGGAGTTCGGGGCGTGACGAGTCGCTGCCGAATGATTTTTTGATCTTTTCCATCAAGTTGTTGTGCATGATTGTGTGTGTGTGTGTGTGTGCGTATGTAGGTTGCTTTGTGTGGTGTGTCTTTTGGTGATGATTTGTGTTGGTGATATGTGCTGAAGTCGGCTATATCGATGGAATATGGTCCAGTGCAGCTCAAGATGGTTCAGAAGTAGAAACGAGATTCCTACGAAAAGTCTTCGAGGGCGAGCAAAGAAGTGTTGAGTGTTGTGTCGTGTTTATACAAGTTTTTCTTTTCTGAACTGTCGATGAAGATCTCAAGCTCTAAACTCTGAAGTAGAAAAAAAAAAAAAAAAAAAAAAAAGACGAGACGTGGTAGTCCCCCCTTTAAATGCAAAAGCGCTCGAGGTGTCAAGACGCAAAGAATCGAGACAGATAACTTTTTGTTTAAAAAGCACCCCTACATGCAGCACAAACACGCACACACACCACACACACAAACGCAGAGGGAGAGAGACCAGAGAACGCACGCACTGCCGGAACGTCGCCGGGCTCGGTTTGCGCCGCCATCCCAAACAGGAAATTCCAGTGGAGGCGCAAGAATTGGGTCGGACAGGCGTGGGATTCGTCGGGTAAAGAGGTGCGAGGCAGTGCAACAGGTGACTGTTGACTGCGTGTCTGACTGTGGACTGTGGATTGAGAATTGTGGACTGAGAATTGTGGACTGAGAATTCTGGACTGTACTCTGGACTGTACTCTGGACTCTAGACTCTGGAGTGACACACACAGGGAGACGAAACGTTGACGTTATCTTGTCTCGGAGTTGCTGTCGTACAGATTGCACCGATTTGCACCATGACACGAGGCATGAGGCATGAGACTTGGGGGAGACATGAGACGATGTGCCATGGCATGGCAGCAGTTGGCATGTCATGGAAGGGCGGTCCGAGACATGAATGTTATGCAACGAGCTGCGGGGTGATATGGGTGATTTGGTGCGCTGCATGAAGGCGGCCACAAGCAGATGAGATGAGCGAGCATAGGGTGATGGGCCGTGACCGCTGACGATGATGGAATCCTGACTCTGGAGTCTCGACTCTCGACTTTGACGCTCGACTTTGACGCTCGACTCTGACGCTCGACTCTGACGCTCGACTCTGACGCTCGGCTCTGACTGTCGACACACACCCCGGACCCCCCTTTGATCCCGACCAACCGGCCACGGCAGCTAGTCGGTCTAGTCGGGCAGCGGGCTGGTCGGCCAACAAGTCGGTTGAGTGGACGGATGGACTTGACGGACTGACGTGACGGATTCGCTTGACGGATTCGCTCGACGGTTTGACCCATCTGGGCTCCGCCTCCGCCGCCGAGTGCGGGGGTTTTCTTGGCGTTCGGTGCGTCAAACGGAATTGGCTGCCGCGTACATACAACACAATACAGACACACACAACACATAGTACCAGGACGACCTGAGCACGGTACGCCGGCACTGAGGGAGCTGGTGGCGTGCGCTGGTGTGCCTGGATGGGAAACGACGGGTCCAGTCTCGCGTCTGAATCTCAAGTCTCGAATCCTCGACAGGAGGCGAGCGACCGGGCGGGCTGTGCAAGACAACCAAGTCGGCCAGGCAGCAGGCGCCCAAACGTCCGTCACATCATCCACGCATCGACAGGCAGGAAGGCGTGTGCCCCGAGCGGGCGTGTCGCCGTAGCCACCATCCATCGATGCGACAAGGCTGTGCTGCCCCATGTGCCGTGGCTCCGTGAGGGCATCGCCAGATGGACGATGCACGCGTCCGGTCCCGTCTGGTCTGGCCGGTGGCTGGCTGGCTAGCTGCCCGGTCAAACGACTCGGCCAGTCGGTTGCGCCGCTCCCCTTTTCTGCATCCCCCGACAAGGCATGGATGCCGGCTGGTCAATGTGTGCCGGCTTCCCGACATTTCGCTGCTGCTTTCCATGTTGGTGACGTTGCTGAAGAGTTTTGCGTGGGCCCAGAGAGCCGAGGGGGGGGGGGGGGAAAGCTTGTCCTGCATGCTCATTGGCTGGCGCGTATACGTTCGAAGGCCTGGTCTCTTCCTGGTGAAAATGCCGTGGGCAGATACTTTATTCACTTTTGCTGCCGTTTTGCTCCTTCACCACCCGCCGCACCGTCAAACGATCAGCAGTAGCCTTGACCGGTGGCATAAGGAGGAGGCTTGTCAATCATCTAGAAACTGATTATATTATTCGCTTGATTCGACTCATCTTCCCCCCGTCTACTCCGTACCTCATGTAATTGACAAGAACACCAGAAGCATCGGCACAACGAGGACATCAACACAAACGGACACGTGTTTCCAGTCACCCAATCACGTCACGACTTCTACACGCAAGACCAACCTGAAGGGCTTCCTTTTCGTCCAGAGAAATGGGCTCTGCTGGTGGGCCATGGTAGAGTGGTAGAGATGGATTTTCATATGCACATCTACCCGGCTGATCCTTAATTCTACGCCCTGTTATTCGGTATCCGTTACCACCCCGACCAACAACCCCATCCATGCAGGACGCAAGGACATGGCGAGACCCTTCGTGGCCACGCCCATCAACCATGTCTATCTATCCGTCCAGGATTCTCTCTCCTTTTCTCCCTTATAGGATTTGCACCCACCAGTTCTTCAAGAGGATATCCAAAAGGAAATCCAACCCGCCTTTTCACACACTTACACACGCATATGTACTTCATATACAGATATATGTACATACACACAGTGCGGGCCTGTATTTGCGCGACAGAAGATATCCCAATGCCTAAGAATAAAAAAACGAATAGTAATACGAACAGTATAGTCCAGCCTTATCTTGTTCAGTAT